GGGTCACTGAACACTCAGTCCTGTAACTGGGAGTGAGTATCTAACGGAAGGCGGATGAACAACGTCGCCGGCCACCGGCTTCTCTGTGGACCGCTTCTGAACACAAGGAAGGCGAATGAGCCATTGGCTGTCAACGGTCTTCCTGAATCACCCCACTGCCTTGCGGGTCAAGTCTTCAGACCAAAGGCTCGGGGTGGGGACTCTTAAGTTAACCATCTTCCTCGGCCTGGGCAACCGGGAAGCTTAATGCCCACACGACACATGGAAGTTTCCATCCGTTCAGCTGACTCTCAGTTCCTCCTTTTTGTTTTTGTTACTCATGTGTTGTGGCACTCTGTCAAACGTTTATTGGGCAGGTAATATATATATATATATATATATATATATATATATATATATATATATATATATATATATATATATATATTTATATATGACTTGTGTTGGTTTTACACTCAGCACTGCGCAAAAGCTAGACTTGGCCTGGTTCCCTGCACTAGGCACGACGCAGCCGGTTCCAGGAAAGCGTACAGCCCATAAAACAACACGAGCAATGCATCAAGCAGTAACATAACGGATCGCCGGTTTTACTTTAAGAAATGGCGCTCTTGTTTCACTTTCATCATATACATGGGAGAAAGAGTGAATGTCATTCCTGTGGACGCAAATGACTTGCCTTCATAGCCCACGTGCAGCCTATATGCGGGTAACACTGACGATAATACGGGGTTCGGTCAGCCACTCGTACTACGTGAAATACGGTCGACCGCGTTATGCAAGTTGCATGGTTGCCGCCCCCAGGCGTTTATGTATCGGTTTAACTCGTAACTGCACGATCCTTCTGGTATAATGTAAATCGCATTGTGAACCTTTGGAACACTGCTTAACCGTATAGTAATGTGCGGAAATTTGAAAGTACATAAAATATCCATGACGAACATTTCTGGTGCAAGAATTTCGTTACGTGCACGTAGACGTCGGATGTTCTCTGACAGCTTTGGAAAGCTTAGTAAGTCTACCGATTCGTAACGACAAATTCACAAAGTAGTCGGAGGATATTCCCATTCGGAATTGCGTTTGTAAAATGGGGAAAGCATTTTTGTAGCCTTTGGTGTCAGTATGGCTGACTTGCCATCAGCAGGTGGATGGGTGTTTGGCAAGCCTGGATTACAATTATAATATGGGGCGGCGGAGACCTGTGAGTACCCGTGAAATGGAAAAATAAAGAAAACGGGATAGTAGATGGTTACCAACGTGCGGAATGGATGAGGCAAGACAAGGCCCTGTGAGCCTTGCGGATCGAGCTGACAGCGGATCACGAGCGGCATCAGGTAACGAGCCTAGGCCCAGACCAACGGAGGTATTTGTCGAGGACACAGTGAACCAGCCATATACGCCACTAGCGAAGCCCACAAGACTGAACACGGGCCGAGTGATGCAACCATGGGCGAGCAAATCGTGAGCTTTCGAATGACTCTTGGCTTGCCAGAAGCAGCCATAGTGAGGCAGAGATCCGGGATGAAAACCTGGAGGAGTTGTTCCGAAGCTCAACCTCGTAGGCACATGGAATCGCCCGTCACACAAATTCTCATCCGCTTTGCGCCGGTCGGCATCTGTACGCGTTTGTGGGTTGTCAACTGCTCACTGTTTGGCAATACACGCTCTGTCCCCACCTCCCGCGTCGTTCTCGCTACAATAAGGCCACCGGTTCGAATCCGCGTGGGGGCAGGCGTCCTCGCGGCGTACTCAGCCCACTCGCGGCTGGTGGTGGCCGCGCGGCAGCGAAGTAATTCATTTCCTTCCTTTTCATTTTTTCATCCACGTTTACTGCGTTACCGAAGGGTTCACTTGTCGCTAAATTCAGGCGGCGGACTATCACTCTACGGGTAACGGCATGGTGAAGTGAATCACCAGCAACTGAAAGCAACGCTCCGTGCGAAAACAGAACCTTCATTGCACTAAGCCTTTTCCTTTGTCCTCATGGGCTTAAGAAAGATTCTTAAGCGATTTCGGCGCTGCTCCAGAGCAGGTAATCTACGAATACCCGCTTCGTTTGCACAGACAACTTGTAGCATCAGCCCGGTCCAATGCATCCTTCGAATGCGGGAGTTATGCCTATGGAATTGCTCACAAGATGCGTACTCAACGTTCACCCGCTCTTCGGTTGACAATGATACCAATGTAAATCCCGAAAAGCCGTCTGTTTGTTCAGGCGATTGGCTTCGCGTGGACAGCCATTACAGTAACAGTATAGTTGGCACTTTAAAATGAACAGCTAAACAGGCAAGGTGTTCCCAATTGAAAGCAGCTGCTGACACTATTTGGTTACCAGTAAACAAGTAAAAGCCACTTTTATGGAAGTGACTGTTTTGCTCTCATCATTTAGCAATACTTCTTGCGACGTTGCAACTAATCGAGACAAGTTCCATAAGTTTAGTAACCCAAATCAGACGCCGAACCTGATTCACCTGCTACAACCGTTACAACTAATCCGTCACCGTTCACGTTCAGTCACCGTGGATGGGAGTTTCGTAATCTCGTTCGATTTTTAGTCTTTGTGCACGGCAAATGGGCTTAGACGTGTAGATTTGGTATGTATTTGTTCTGTTTTGTTCGAATAATAAATTGAACATCTAAAAATCTAAACCCTACGAAAACTTAAGTAATCTTAAAATCAAGAATGGTTGCAAGCAGACGTTTGCGGTACATTCTCATGCGTTTTTATGCTGTCCGTCCGTTCTCCAACCTTCCTTATAATCGACCGGCCGTCAACAGCACGGTTTATAGTGCTCGCCACAGCCTACGGAAATTAAAACGCAAATACTTAGCATTCTTTTTGAGATAAAGATCGTTTTGGCGCAAAGCTTGGTGTGGTGGAGAAGAGGCCATTCCAAAACACACTGTTTGGCAACAGCATGAATTGAGGCCGTGTCGGATTTTATCTAGGCCAGACAATTTTTGCACTACGACAAGCTCGCTACCGCGACTTACTGTGATGTATGCCGTCTTGCAGGCAGCTTAACAGTAAAACACTAACGCCGCAGTGGATACCGATTTCCGACCGACGACTCTAGCGATATGGCATTCCCATACATTGGTACTGGACACTATTCTGCGTTATGAACCTGGACTCATACAGCACTTTAATAGCCAATACTTATATTTTGGAACCTTCTGGATAGAGTGCTGTATAGCGCCGCGAAAGCTAACTTGTACCTCAAACGTATCAGTTAAGTACTGATCAAGTGTACAAGATTTGTTCTTGGTTTACCGCTCTGCATCCTCCGTCCTTAAACGCTTGTCTTTGTCTTCCCAGTCAGTCACTGCGTCGAAGCTTGGTTCAGTCTTGTTCATCCCTTCATGCTTCATAGTCGCCTCTTCCCTCGAATATAATCCAGTGTGTTGAACTACGAAAGACGATGAGCACATTGGGTTGGATACAATCGTTGACATGGCGCAGAACGGACCTCAATGGCGTTAGGATTGTGTGTTCGTTGGTCCCACCCCCCATCCCCCTCAGCTTCCTCTCCGAAAACCTCGCTAGGCATAATACACAATGCGACACTTAGCATTAGGTTTCTTGTTTTTTAATTCTCTCTATTTTTCCATAATGCTTAGTATCACGCTTTTTATATACCTTCCCCTTCCGTTTGCGGCACAAGAGCTGAAGTATGTTTCGCACTTACAGCTGGCGTGTAACTTAGGGTTGTGAGTTTGTTGGTCCCACCTCCCATCCCCCTCAGCTTCCTCTCCAAAAACCTCGCTAGGCGTAATACACAATGCGACACTTAGCATTAGGTTTCTTGTTTTTTAATTCTCTCTATTTTTCCATAATGCTTAGTATCACGCTTTTTATATACCTTCCCCTTCCGTTTGCGGCACAAGAGCTGAAGTATGTTTCGCACCTACAGCTAGCGTGTAACGTTGGTGCTAAGGATGCTGTGTGACTCCATTAGTCTTCCGAAGTTGGTACTTGACTGCGTATTCTTACTACGATTTGTGTTCAACAGAAAACATGAGTCTGTTCATTTGTTGCACCGTCATCTTGCAGGGGAAATTCGATAACCCACTTAACTCAGCTTGTGATCTCAACATAACAATTTGCGTTGATTTCCAAACACATTTAAGGCACTCGAAGCACAGGTTAAGTATTTCTCACTGTCATTACTGCAATACACAATAGCTCCGTTCTTCTGGCAAGGAAATACGGTTTAGAACTTGAACGGCTATCAGCTAGGCTAAGCGTTGTTTTGCATGATAACAAAGGTAATCCAAATGATCCCACTCTCGATAGTACAGTCTAAATGTTGAGCACAGTCGCAAATCTGGTTCAGTCACTAAGGATAATGTAACTTGTACCTCGAAAGTACGCTCGATATACTGTGACCCGACAGGTCTTCAGTAACCATATTTCATTTTCCCACACTAGTGGGAAATGTAAAAATAAGTTTTATCTAAGCATTTCCACCATCATTGATCAACTGCCTTCAAAATAGCTCAAAATCTTTTCATAAAACTTGCTAGACGACAGGTTAAAATCTTTAGGATGCTAAACAACGTTTTGCTTTTGACACAAGCACTTCATCAGGCTTGAGCAAGCTTTTGTGTCAAAAGCGAAACGTTGTGTATCATCCTAAATATACTAACTCGTCGTCTGCCAAGTTTTCTGAAATGAGGATTTCCCGATCGGTTCCAAAACTGTTCCAGGGGCTCAAAATCTTCCTAAAACACTGATTTAAAAAATGCATAGAAAGCTATGCTAGTCCGCTTCCATTTGAGACATCTCGCCTAGGACCCTATCTTGTGCCACAGTTTATTGAGTGAATGAAAAAGGGGTTCATTCTATAGTTGATCTACTTGTTGCCCCGGAGCGATGTAGTGCACTGTTACAAAACGAACAAAAGGGATCTTTCTTTATTTATGTAACTCATCTATCTCCCACCCTCGCAGTGAAGGTTAGAGTGATTAAGAAATTTGAGCTCTGCTAATAAGCACAGTATATAACTGAACTACATCAATATATTTAATAGGTTTCTATCGACATGAAAGCAGCGTCAACAGTCTACTGCTCTTGGAGCACTAGACGTTGACCTGCTCACCTTTGCATGCGTGTACGGGAGAGCAACAGACCAGCTAGGTGATGAAAAGCGTGCTCGATGTAAGCGTGTGGATAAAGGGCCACGGAATTTGTGCAAATAAATTTTATCCTTGAACGCAAGGTATGGTTGGCGTGTAAAATCAACATCGATGAACCATCAGGAAAGCTGAAGATAAGGCGAACCAAAAGAATGGAATAAGCGGGAAGGAATGCCAGGAGCAACATGAATGACACTATCCCTTTGGTGCAGTAGCTAAAAAATTAGTTTCAGATGTTAAGTGAAAAAAGGATAGACATCAACTGGTGAGTGTGACGAATGGAGTATACACTGGAGAAGATGAATAGCCAGATGTACAGCTTGAAACCACTCGTCGTAGAGAGAACAGTGTAATTCCTCAGTCCAAGCTCCCAAAGGCACATAGACACGGATAGGATGTGGCATGCTCCAAACACTATAGCCTACAGTGAATAAGCCGGCTTTTACGTCTGCCGAACGGGCTTGCTGCGAATGGGGTTTAGACGTAGTGGAAAATAAAAAATTCGGACTTTGTGTAATTATCCAGTTCAGTTTGCTGGCACTCTGAATGTTATTTTGTCAATGGGTTCGGTATAAGTCGCATACTTCGGGCCCGTTTTGTCTAAGGTAGAAATAACAATATCACTGGTTAAATGAAGGGGTTACAGTTTTCTCTTCTCCTCTCTTCCCACCCGATTTGACCTCAACATATTACACATGGTTTGGCTCATCGATTGGACTGTATTGCTGCTTCTCGTTTTGTTTTGGTTCGATTACCCTCGGGTTGTTCACATTGCCCTGCTCAGTTTTGTTCATCTCGGCCATTGGGTTATTTTCAAGAGTGGCTGTTCGCTTGCCGACAACAACATTCCCAAAGGCCAAATCCCGAGCGACTTCGTCGAACGTCCGGTTACGAGTCTCCGGCATAAATAGGAAGAAGAACACCCAGCAGACTACCACGACGACAAGGAATGGCAGAAATGAGTAGCCGCCAATAGCAGCCTAAAACACAGTTAAAAATGTAGGGGCTTAACTTGCGTTCATGATACAGTTATCAGAAAAGGAGTTGCATTAATTGCACAATCAACAAAGAAAATATATGGGAGCATTGCAAGGAAAAGCTGGTGCTGATAAGCAGAAATCGAATATGGGTTTCGAAGTATGTGTTGAACTACCTGTAAGATTGAAAACGGTGTGTAAGAATTCTATATGGAGAACAAAGTACAAATTCTCTCCGAAAGTTTTGGAAGTCATTGTATGGTATCCAGAGATTCAGACATCAGTGGTAACAACTGGCTACACATGTTGAATGAGAACTGGTTGCAATATATATTCCCCCATCCTCCACAATAAACTCGTGAACAATCTCATCCGTTTTCAAGCTATCGCTATAGTAGAGGTGGGAATTTGAATGGATCCTGGTGCCTGAAAGAGCTTAAGCAAAACTTCTGTTCCAATCTCAAAACTTTCCATAATTCTGACGAATGAAATCAGGGGATGCACTAGATTTATCGCACAAAAGAACAGCCTCATTAAGCCATGGGATTTAAGCAAGCGTAAAATTGTCTAAATGCTAGTTGACCTCGCTCTTATTGATTGCCTACCGTCTGCATGGAAGGGAGGCACTTCAGGACTGCTGACAGGCCCACTGAGTGTGAAACGGTAATTATGTCATCGTTGAATGAAGCGGCGGAACTACCTGTACAACCAAAATATTTAGTTACCTCTATGCGAAATGTGATTGTCGCGACCACATGGTTGGCGGAATCCGGTTCCGGTTTGCCTGTCACTACAGACAACTACAGGATTCATGCGCCTACTGAAGGATCACAAGTGGCTTGCGCTGCACCACGCAGAGCTCCATCCACACATCACATATTCAGTGAAAACCCGAAACGAATAAGACCGGGAGGCATGTGGATGGGAGCCAAGTTTCATCAACGGAGCCGGCCCACACTTCTTCAACCTGCACAGCGGCAGCATACCAGTATCTAATTTAGAAAGCGTGCTTCCCAGATGTATACAAGAAACTAGCTAGGCCGTAGCCCGATCCACAGTGGATGGAACTACAATGTGAGTCTAGCACGGTCGCAAAGACCGTGAACCTCGACTCTCCAAGCAACGGCCGACTGTTTCCTGGAGCCAGGATAATCTAGGTATGGTTTTTTTGACAAGTAGGCACCCTGTCATCATTCACAACAACCGCAAATTAATCGGCGATATTAAACAGCAAACATAGGATATGAAAGAAAATAAACGTGCACTCTGTACACTGAATGAGCGGCAGAATGACAGTATTGAACTAATCAAACTACTGACCATTAACTCTGACCTAGTGTCGGGGTGATTTTGAGCTAGTGTAAGTCGGAGCGGATCAACCTAATAACACCGATGATGAAAGGAAAATAAGCGTGTGAAATAATCGGGGAATATGCGGATGATTAACAGAACTAAGCGAACGAAGTAAAATGAATATAGTCAAGACTAGTGTATCGCAGAACAGCCTTAAGTGTAAGTCGCTCTAGCCAACGTACACCACGTAAAAGCCATGTTTTCAGACACATCAGTTACTCATAAGTAGGCATTCATAGTATAAATTCAACTAATGGGTGCACCACTTAATTGTGTGCAAAGTTAGCCTAAAGATGCTCACCCTGTTTTCTCTTTCCGATTATAAATAGCAGGCCAAAATGGGTTTAAGCATAATCATCCAACACTTATGTATGCTTGCGAGTTTGCAACCGACGAAGGTTCACGGTTGCCTCTAGTTTCTTACACTATATAATAGAAATAATACGTCCAACAAAATTGTCATGCTGAGCAACAGCACGTGTAACTGCCTTCCATCACTTGTTCACTAACTCAATCGCACAATACGGTTGTCCATCTTAATGAGTAGCTCAGTCAAACTATCGTAATAAGCAGCGATAACTGGTTAAGTGATATTAAGCAGGCTGTTTTTGCTGTAATGTGTTCTCTATGGGAGAAAGATAAAACGAACTTGGTGGGAGCGCGAAATCCCAGTGTGTCCAACATATAGTCCAGTGTGATGGAATTAGGGACATGCTCCTGGATGGTTTTGATTGTTGATTTCGTTTGCCCTCAGAGACTTAGCTTCAAGGATAAAATGGACTCATCACTAGTGATCCCACGGTGTGAGGTTTCCTTCCTGCTAACCAGATCGTCAGCTGATCTAGAACACAATATTCGTTGGTCATTATCGTACTTGTGCAACGTCCGCAACCAACCTAAAGGGTCAGTTCAGCATCACGCACCTGCCAGCGGCTAGACTGACCCCTATCCATATAACTTCATTACCGTTATAACACAACAGAATACATTAGTCCATAATTGTACAACAACAACCTTTAACAAAGTTCAAAATACTTGCAGGAAGACTCTACAAAAATAAGTCAGGAGATCCCAATCTAGCATCAGGAGTAGTTGTGGATCAATGTAAGGAGTACTGGTGGTTGTGTCTCGGATTTGACTATGGCTAATTCTCTCGTTAAGAGGTTTAACCCACCGTTCTGTTGACACATTTTTAAATGTTGCTGGCTGAGACCTCTTAGTCTACTCTCCAAAATCTTTCACCAGATCAAAAGACCAATTTGGGCTTACGCAAATAATTGTGGTGTAATTCTATCTGGGCAAAACAGTAAACATATTCATTACGGAAACGAAGTTAGCACCCAGAGGAAAGTAATAAAACTGTTTCTCAGTTGGACGTTGATTAACGACACCGTTGATGGATAGATCAGATGCTCAGAGTCAGACAACACGATCGCATTGTCTCCACGGATAATTCGGCGCCATATGGTTAATTTCCAACACGGAACCTGCCTACGCAAACGTTAAAACCCAGCCACAAACAGCCTAGTTTAGTTGCGATAACGGGTGAATTAAACTGATACAACCAAAGAATCCTCAACATCTGTGATGGCTCACGAAACTCAGAGGATGTTGGATCCGCTGGATAATCAGTTGCGCTACTCACGTTGATACTTGGATAGCTGCACAATACCAGCAGGTTGCTCAACCACTGTAGACCTTGACTGAGAGAGTACGCTGCCGCACGCGGCGCTTGCCGGAATATCTCGGATACAATCAATGCAGGCACCGGTCCCAAACCCATTGCGAATCCACAAATGTAAACGATTATGAGGACCGCTGAGAGTATTCCCATTGTTCTTCGCATTGTTTCAGAGGACAGCGATGTAGCGAGGTTCACCGTGATGGTCAACAGTAGCAGGGAGGCAGCCAAGGCGACCGTTGGCCACAGAAGTAGTGTCCGACGGCCTGCTCGCTCCAGTAACGGGACGGTGATTACAGTCAAGATGACATTTATGAAACCGATTGCCACTACGCAATATTGATTGTATTCATCCGCAATCCCAGCCGTTTTAAGCATCGTCGAGGAGTAACTGATGACCTGATGAGAAATGGGAGATACAGATGAAAGATAGAACGCATCCATAGGAAAATCACAAGCATCATATCTAATTCAAAAGGAATAGTGAGTACAGTAAGTTCCGGAAGGTCATTTTGTACGCTATCTTTTGAGTCAGCCTACCTACACAGTTCGTATTTCGGGGTGTCAGATCCGATCCACCATACCAGAGAAGATTGTAGAGAAGAGGAAGAAGGTTCTTCATCATTTGAACAATCTACTCAACCCCATCAATGCTGAGACACGGAGCGTGCACTATGAACGACTGGAAAAGATTCCCTTAAATGGAACAGATATATGACAATCATTAGTAGCTTAGACATGAAAGGAAGGTAAGAACCAGGTTACTCCGGATCTACCGATGACGCAGAAATCAACCATGTCAGTTACGTTGTTGTGAAAACCATTATATCAAGATGAGGCTGTTGGTTGAACTGTGGTGAACTTTGAAGAGACAGTAGTGGAAACGGCCGCCTCAAGTTCAGTTACCACAGGTTGCACTTTTCATCTAACAAATATCGTTGACTTCGGTATGATGCCATCCAGTGTCTTGCTAAAAGGGAACTATGTGTGAATGAGGACCCCCGAAACTGACCGCCAGTAGAATGAGACTCTGACATCAGCAATAAATTGAACAAGCAGAACTCCACTCTAATCAAAGTTTCTTAACGCACCCATCATTCGTCTTCGTTTTATACCCAAAAACCAGCATTAATATGAAAGGCAGGTGGAGCAGTGTTGTAGACAAAGCTTGGTGGTATGAAACCGAACGGCCCCCGTGGGTCAAGGTTTAGAATGACCAAGAGTAAACGCATCGTTGAACTCAACCGACAAAAAGTTGGAGAATCAAAATACCGTGGGACTGCATGTACAATAGGCTCAGCTTGAACTATTTTTCCGACTACAAATTGAAAAGAAAAATGAGAAGTGGTGTCCGCAACCCTCAATCCGAATGGCGAGCATGTTTGGCCAGATCACATCTCATTGTCACCAAAAACACTGTGTTAGTGGCCGCCTTAGATCACATCGGGATCTGCTCCCAATGTGAGCATTTCCTTACTAGACTGGCACAAAGCAGGAGATACTCAAACTAAACTGCTGATCTAAAACAACAGGTTAGCAGTTAGAACCTGTGATGCACGTTCATATACATCCTTTACTTCTTGAGAGTGCTGAACTAGGGTTGCGGTTATCCTTTTACGAAGAATCCTGTTTCTGCTTGTTAGAATTCAGTTTTCAAGTATTATTCGCTTAGAGTCAAGTGCATTTTGGTCTAACCCTGGGCAAGTCTGAGCAGCCGTACAACAAATGATACCGAGGGTATCACCAGTAACACCACTGTTTGTGGCACCTGGCTACCAGTGACTCAGATACCGGTAAAGTTGCAGTATACTTAGCTCATGCACGGCTGCTGATGGTCACATTGCAGCGATGCATCGGTAAGACATGCCGGAGTACTGTTGATGTCTTTAATATTTTTCCTCTTTGTTTAGCGTATAACCGTAGTGACCCCATTGATGAACGATACTCAAGAGGGAAGAACGAGTGTTTGGCGTAAAATTACACTATGCAACCATCCTAGGACGGAGATGCCTACATCCTGTCAACAATAGATTGTCACAAGCAGTTAGGTAGCTTTCTAAAACAAAGTGGCAACGAAGACATCGCTTGCTTGGGGATGTCACTGGGCTGAACCACCATCCAGCTCACTCGAAATGCAATTCCTTGTCACCCAAACGTGAACGAACTGTTTGCTTTTCACGTGATACCAAAGGCTTCAGTGATACCATTTCTGAGCCATTTTCTGTAAGTCATAGTACAACGTATTGGGTAGATCTGGAATTTAAACCTCAAACTTCACTAGTTCAGTCGTCAGCAACTGTTCGATTACTTCCCAACACAGCTGAATCACATGGGGAAACAGGATTCTGTGGGTCCCAGTTGGGTCAAAGAAATAGCAGTCATGAGACTAGTTAACGTTTGAGTTGCTAATGCTAGGTTCGTCAGCTAATATTCTTGGCACAGGCTGGTATACTGAAACTACTTGCACATTCCACGTGTGGATTTGCCAAGGAAATGCTTGTTTGGAGCAGTCCCCAGAATTTCCTATCAATCTGATAGTTCGAAGTCATAGGACTTCACTGCCCACAGAAACTAATCCGCGTGGTGTACAAAGTATTGCCTGTAACCAAAGCGAAACAAGATAAGGAACTGTTGTCATGGTTCTCGTTGCCATGGTGAGCCTAAATCACACGTGCATGTATCCGGGTCAAAGGGCTCCATCCTCATGGCATTGCAATGTACTGCAGATCGCCAGGGTATGGACGAAGATTCTTGGTTCATCCTCCTGTCGGAGAGATGTCCCACAGTGGGGATTGAGTCATACCCAGTTACTTGGGTCAAATTCCAATTAACTCCGGAAATGTCACACGCAGTGTAACCCAGCGCTAATTGTGATGAGTGGCAGACCCTTTGACCTACTGATCAAGAAAAAGCAACGGCCACTTAAAATCGTACAATAGGACAAAAGCGTTTGTTTCGCCAGAAAGAAACCATATGCCAATGCTTCAGATGGTGAGATTTGAATAGTACCTTTTCTGCGTTTCATTCTAACCACCAGTCCACCTGTGGACAGGTCTCCTCAGGCCGTCAACCCAACTCAATAGATGTATGGTGAATCCAGTGGCTCCTTTCACATCGCGGTGCTAGTATGGATTAGACGAATAGAAATAACTGCTCTTGATTTGATGATTTGGAATTAGGATAGCTTCCGGCAAGTCAACCTCGCTGAGATTACGTTCAAAAATGAGAGCCTGTCTTTTCCAGGTTCTACAGCTTGCTTTACCGCGTGCGGCACCTGTTCTACTGAAAGCCAATACAAAAAATTGTACTGACTCTAAGCACTCTCAACGCACCAACTTCTAGATTTGGGGAAAGAACACAATCTTTTTCGGCTGCTCAGAGCTACGGATCACATCCCTTGATCAAAATAAATGGAAGTCTAGACTGGAGGCAACGGTGAAAGAAAGCTCGTCCGCCTCTTTTGGTGCAATAGGTGGTTTGCTTTCTCAGTAAATTACTGAAAATTATCATCAGCAATACCACGCAGGGGGTGGTATAAGGAAAAAGCCAAGTATATACTGGAAGTACGATCAGTAATGAGGAATGATCATCCAACAAGTTTGGATGGATTAGCTTTGCGGATAACGCTGATTGCAATGTTGACTCTTCCTTTGCCGTCAGTTACCAACGCTCAGCTGACCAGTATGTGCTTTCGGTCTGAGACAGTTACAGATATTTAATAACAAAATGACATCTCAAAGCAAGTAGATGTGCTAGAATAGGGTAGCTCACGTGGGTCACTGCTTACAAAACCAAGGAAAACAAATTCGTGTTCTGCGCAAGTTGCCTCTGTGATCAAATCAAAGTAACCTCCAGTGACTTCCAAGTTTTCAGACTTCCAGCTTGAGATTCCGGCAGCGCAGCTCTTCACTTTACGCATAAGTCGAACCAGCGCGCCAAGTTTACTCATTTTAAGCTTGTTTATGCCATAATATTGTCACTCGATTACGTAAATTTCTGAGTAGTTTGCTTTAACGCTTCCTCGAGTGGAACGTACCACTAGCATGGGGCTTCACGGAGCCACACATGCAGCCACAAATGACATATTCTCGCTCTACGTACAAAGCCCAAATAGTACAAGTTCTAACCATTGATCTTATTCACCATTTCTGATCACCGGTACTGCGGTTATCTTGACTAAGCTTCAAACAAATACACATCAAAACATTTACACTTCGTAGTAATCTAACGGGTCATCACAACTGTCTGGCAATAGACCCTTACTGCATTTATGCCGGACAGTTGCTGAAGCACTTGAATCAAGCAAGCAATCATCACCGGCATGCGAAGGTCCTTCTGGGTGAACAATTGCATGAATTTGAATTTGGGCTGATTTTTGACCACCTCCATTTCTTCCCGTAACTCTCCGATAAATTCGTCCACACCTTCGTCTCCGTTGAATAGTGCATATGCTTTGCGTGCCTCGGCTTCCTTATTCTTCTTCATAAACAGGAAACGTGGACTTTCCGGACAAAACGGCAGCGCCACCAGAGAGACGACCGCGGGGACGGCACACAAACAACACGCGATGGGCCATAAGTCGCTGGTGTTCAGCGTATGTGTCAGCGTGACTACGTAGGCCATAAGAATTCCAATGGTGATAGCCAACTGATTGCACGCACCGATTGCACCACGCAGGTCACGAGGTGAGGCTTCGACTAGATAAAGGGATGCAATCCCAATCGTAATGCCACAATTGATGCCAAGTATGAAACGACCCACAAACAACAGAGCCGCCTGATTTGCGTATACACACGGAGCACACAAGACCCCACCGAGGATAGCAAACCCGTGGTTGAATAGCAGCCCGTTGCGTCTGTAGGGGAGGGAGAGAAGAGAAACGTATGTTGTACCAGTGATCGAGACATACTTCATTACCTAAGGACCAGCTGCCCGGTCACTTGAAAATAGCGAGCCAGCAGGTAAAACAAACTGTACGCATGAAAGCTGTTAAAAAGGATTTTAAAAATGCGGTTACCTTGGGTTCTTTGGGTAACGAACCGCCATGATCTAGTGTCAAAAAGTAAGCTTTTTCTGGTTCATCCCGGCAGGGGATCAAGAGAATGCGCGAAAATGACAAGCCGCGACAGTGCGAAGCGATTATCTGATGCTTTCGGGATTCCGATTAAAAGATCTGGCTTGTGAGCGGCTGGGATGAACCAGTAGACTTGTAGTAACATTCTTCCTATCCATGGGCAGTCAGAAGTTGAAGTTAAAATCGAATTCAACACAACGAGCACTTGGCACAATCAAACTGGGAACTGTTTTACTCTAACTAGTCTCTAACACCTGCAAAGCTCACTCGTCAGACTTTTGAGTTCAATTTGTGAACATAATCCGGAAATGGAGCGCTGGCTTAAAAGGTCTGGTAGGTGACATGACACAGAAATTTGGGGAACCTGGGCAAAAGTTTGGAGGAGGATGCGTATAGGGCATTCACTATCACTGAGGTGATGTAATTGCTAAGTGCCGTGCAAATTGCATGGGTACCCAGCATTTGACTAACCAGATAACCCAAACAGCCTTTTTGGCTGTGAAAAACCAGGCTTTTAACCGACCACTCTCTAATAATAAGCGTTCAACGATTTGCTACTTAGTAGCTACTTCTGATGCTGAAACCAGCCCACTGTATCATTTTTTACAACTTTTATGGTCTCACTCATATGTTGCTACGTCGAACAGTCCAAGGTGCAGTGTGCTCCAAGGTCGTACTCTAACTGTTCTCTGTGAGAGTGAATTCCTTTTTCCTCATCATCGTTATACACCTTAGCTAGAGGTGGAAAACATCTCAGTCGTAATACATGAGACAAGAAAAACCATAAAAGGTGCACGCCAGCTAAGCTAACAACAACGGATAAGTATCGTTCTAGAAACCTACCAGCCAGATACGATGCAACGAAAAATATATATTATGCAAAATTTGTATTATGCTAAGGAGCGAGATCGCGATTGGTGGAGGAGGCCAAGCGAGAAGGGGGAGGGACAAAGAAACTCACAACATGAACCCTACTGAGGTTGGCTCCTAGCTATGTCAGCAAGTGTATCAAGCTAAACGTGTTCATCGTCCTTCGGTCCCCATGCAGGGAGTTAAGAGGTTCCAACCGAGGCCAACGTCGAAATAAAGGCATTCATTGCTATAGACCAAGTCATCGCTTGGCTGCCCCTCCTCTTCTTCCATCCACACCCCGGCGGGCAAACAACCAACGTCGCGCGAGTCGATGGGATGCCATGCGCGACACGTGCCCTAGCCATCGGAGCCTGGTGTGTGCAATAACGGTGCTGAGCGGTTCATTTCCTTTTCCCGTGCCATAAAGAAACCGTCGAACACGCCCATTTCTCACGCTGTGTTCTCCCAAGGTATGAACCAAACTGCGAAGGCAACGGTGTCCGAACGTAACTAGCCTCTTGGTTGATCTAAGGGTCCAGGTTTCACAACCGTACAGTAGGGTCGAACGTACCGTTGCATTGTACACCCTACCCTTCAGGGCGAGCGTGATGTCGCGCCGGCGCCATAGGTGGCGAATATTAGCGAAAGCGCCTCGAGCTTTGGCTATACGGTTCGTGATCTCATCTTCAATCCCACGGGCGCTGATACGACTTCACAGGTGATTGAATTTTTGAATGACTTCTAGCTCATCCCCACCGAGGGTCAGCGCAGGAGGCGATCCCTGTCAACCTTGGAGGAAAGCCTTGCGCTTCGATGGTACAAAGCGAAGCCCGAAGCGGTCGATAGCCAGCGCTAATCTGTCCAGTGGCGCGTTACACAGTTTGGAGCTGTCCCAGATTAGGACGATATGGCCTAACATCCTCCAAGTCAATGAGTCATTCGTCTGGGAGCAGCTCCACACCTTTTAAGTCGTGTCCGGTGAACACGGTCTCCATGACTTCGTTAATAGCAAAGCTGAAGAGGAATGGTGACATCGGGCATTCTTGCCTCACACCATTGAATATGTCGAAGGGCGCCGATTGCTTTCCGCAAGCCCTCACACTGTACGAGCTACCCGCTTATAACACTAGGATAATGTTTATCTAATACTAGTGCACAGCATTCCTAAGTAGACAGTTTCGAAGCGCACATCGATCAGCCGAATCGAAGGCACTTTTGTTGTTAAGGAACATGAAGGTGGGCCGCCAAAAATGTGTCGGTGCTCTAACTATTGACGCAAAGTGAAGATATGGTCGATGCAGCCTCGACGTTGACAAAATGCAGCTTGTTCTTCAGGAATCTGGTTTTTAAGAGCGCCAGTCGGTCAATGAAGGCTTACAGTGGCACGAAATGTTGTGGCAGTGGGGAGCAGACTGATTTCGCAATGACTGTCTAATTCCGAACATGGGCTTCCCTTGCAAATCAGGACTATGACGGAGCGGCTTCAGTCGCTTGAGACAGTTTCCTGCTCCCACAGTTTCACTAGTAAATCCTGTTACTCATCAACAAGAGCAGGGCCCCGAATCGGAAGACGGCTGGAGGAAGATCATCTGGTCCCGCATCTATATTCCACTTCAACAGTCCGACCTCCCGCTTGACGTCTGAGCAGGAGGGCGGATCAAAAGAGATAGCTCAAGGTGCAGGGCAATCAGTACCTAAGGAGAAACCTACCAATTCCGACCGCTTAAATAGTCGCTCAAAGTGCTCAGCTCAAGGCTCCAAGCGTTTTGACAAGTTGTGGATGGGCTGCCCACTCTCGTCACGTATAGTTTCCTTAACACCACGTCTCCTGCTGCCTGTTTCCCGTGTCAGAAGGAATAACATCCGTTGATTACCAAGCGCAGCTGTCACTTCTATCTCTGACGCACGATGAGACCACCAACATTCGTGTTGTCTCTCCAGGCTAACACAGAGTTTTGCCTTCAGCTCTATGTGAGTCACGTTGTGTTCGCTTCCAGACGGAATGTACCAGCGAGCATCCATAAGTTCCAGAGAATGCGAAGAGACCCAATACATATGCAAATATTAGACTTACCGCATGCGGATTTAGCTGTTGCCACTAAGGTCTGGTGGACATACGACCAGTGATTTTAGTTGCATTTACTGAGCGCTTACTCAACCCGTGTGTTAGCGTACTTCGATATGCATTCAAAACACGCGGATTCGCCAGTTCAATGGTGCCTATGCGCTTACAGGGTCGTCGTAGGCACCCGTCAAAACACAGCCGCCGATCAGCACAAACAAGTTCATGGTCAGTTTCCACACATATGATCCAACTCCAGAAACAGTTCTGGACACAGCCTCTCCAGCGGAAACTGATAGCGACGTGATCGATTTACGTCCAAGGCTGGTCTAAGACTGTTGGGCGCCATGTCACTCTGCTGCGGTTGCTGTGTCGGAAGTGAGTGCTCTCAAGAAATAATCGAGCACCTTCACACAAGTGGTGTAATCGCTTACCGTTATTATTACGGGAGACTACACCATGTTAGCTGTCCAGATGCAGTTCATCAGTGGACCATTCCCCAACTTGAGCGTTCGGATCCCCAGCAAGCACCCCAGTGTCCGTGGTTTTTCTGTGATAAAGGAGCTCGTTCAGTGGGCAATAGATGTCGTCTTTTACCTAGTCATCGCTACAGTTTGTGGGGACGTAGGCAGCGAGGACAAAGACACCTATTAGTTCCACGCAACTTCGGAGCTTTGAACGAGCCAACCAATCGGACCGTACCCATCCGGTTACTGGTTGGGATCTAATCAGCCACAGCAGCTTCAGCCCGGGGAATCAAGGTAATACCAACACCGGCTTGGCCAGTATTCGAAGCTGCACCGTCACCAGATAGGCGCAAAGAGAAAGCGCTGTTGGTGTCACCGGAATGGGAGCGCGAATCGGGCACAGAGCTGGAGTCTTCTAGACGGGTTTCTAACAAGCAGCAGTATCGATCGAGAGGGTCTCTAATGTTCGGGAAACCGCTGCCTGTCGACCGATCTGTAGCAGTATGAGTTCACTGGATTCAGTGTCGAAAATGTACCTGTTCACTTACAATCATTATTGATTTATCGACTGGTCGGACTGTTCGCTGAGCTCAACAGTTTTGCTGCAAACGTTTCACCACCGCTGAAAGTGACACCGTGAGTGCACTACTACGCAGCGGAGTGACGCGATTCGAAGCGTCAGTGAGTGAGCGTGATCGATCGTGAAGCGGAGGAGCCTTCAGTCTGAGTTTGTGTTGTTGGATGGGTACATGAACTTTGAAAGTGCTCTCTCTGATTTATACGTTTATAACCTTACCTTGCGTATATCTACGTTTGATGTAGTCGTTTGACGTGTTTGTTCAGCGTTTTATTCCCTCAGATTTAGTTGACTAAGTTGGTTCTCTTTCAACCGTAGTGCCTCGCATAGCTTGATTGAATTGCTTTTAGAGTAAGGTGCTCAAAAATTGTCTAGCTTGCTTCAAATTTCCACGGGGTAGCATCTTTACGTTCTCTAGGTCGAGGTGTTGGCCTTCTTGCTCATCATGCATGGAGACCAAGGGATGGGAGCCATGCATCGGTATAGCCATTTTGTGTTCATTGATTAGTGCTAAAAGTTTCCACCAGTTTGTCGGAAATAATGGTTATCACATACCGCAGTTCATCATGTTGAGGACATCGTTCAAACTGCCTTAATTGAGTTACTCTTGATCTTGAGAACAATTCACTTCAAGTAGCATTTGGTTTGTGAGCTACAGAGATTTCTTGTGGTCATAATAATTTCGCGGTTAGTTAAGAGGTTTTTAATACAAGGAAGTATTACTTGCTTATCTGGGTATTTTCGCTGTTGTGCATACACACTTTGCTTCGGGCCTTACTGATGAAATTCCTGGGATACCCTTGCTTCGCAAAATTCTGTACGGATGGTTCTCTTCTTTCCTCCTCATTTCGGTCGTGATGCAGTGTTTCGGCTCCTCTGAAAAGGCTAGGAAGGTAACTTTTCTTGTGGTTCAGTGGTTGGTTGCCGTGGTAGTTTACTATCTGGTCTGCGGAACACTTCTTCCAATATACGTATGTTTGAGGTTTTCCCTCGGTTTTTTGGGCCAGTATATCTAAGAATGGTAGTTGATTGTCCTTCTCTAGTTAACTAGTAAAATGGATATCCCCGAATGTGCTGCTGATTACCTCAAACGTATTTTGTATGGAATCAGGTTTTACGAAGACAAACGTGTCGTCCGTGTGTAGCGGGAAGGAGCCGTAGGAACGCGCTGACTTAATTGCCAACGCGCAAG